AAGAAGAAGAAGAAGAAGAAGAAGAAGAAGAAGAAGAAGAAGAAGAAAGGGGTGGGGAACCTGAGTCCCAAGAGCCTGAAGAGCTTAGAGAGAAGTCACACAGCCGGTAAGTGACAAACTCAGAATTCAAACCCTACTGACCTGTCCCATTTAGCTGCTAAGCTATATTGATCCTTTACAATAAGCCAAATTAAGGCTGTAGAGATGGCTCTGCAGTTAAGAGCACTAACCCAGAAGACCTGGGTTCAATTCTGAGCACCCACATGGCAACTTACAACCATCCCTGATCCCTCTGGGATGCTGGTTCCAACGGGTCAGCACCCTCTTCCGGTCTCTGACTGAACTGCGCACATGTGGAACAGTGCAGGCAAAGCTCCCCAAACACGTAAATTACAAATAAACACATCTTTTAAAAAGCGTAAGCCAAATCTATTGAAATGCTCTTCCCATGATCACTTGTCAAACCTTCAAGCCTGGCACCTGATTCCAAATCATGTTACAGAGCTGTCATTCTCTGGCCTGTGGGTTTTGCCATTTGAGAAGGAAGCTCTGTTATGATACAAACTCAGCCTAAAATAGTGCCACCCTAGTTTTCAGAGTCAGAAACTCTAGAAACACTCACCAAAGGGGGAGTCAAAACTGGGGCTCTCGTTACTGCTGTTCCGAACAGACTCAAAGACAGCCCAGAGGAATTCTTTGGGGAGCAACATCCCTACCATCTTGGAAGCTGTTTGCTGAAGGATACCAGGAAACTGTAGTTTAAAAAAAAAAAAAAAAGACAAAACACGTGGGATGCATTTAAATCAGAATTTAAACTGTATCACTACTTAATGCCTCAAGGTAGTTTTTTTTTTCTTCATAATAGCCTGTTGTATAGATTTAATCCCTCATTTAGCTAACGTTATCTCTAATCCTGTCAAAACAATATTTGACTTCTGCAGCAATATGATAAACACTGAATAACAGGCACGCATCGCTTTCCACCCATCAGATTGGCAAATAGAAAGCGATAATAATTAATGCGAGACCGGGTGTAGAAGACTACGCATGCGAGCTCTTCCAGGACTATTGCGTGGTGCACGTCACCAAGCAGGCTGGTAATATCTACCAAAAACATGTAAGTTTGCATACGTCTTTTTTTATTTGGTGCTACTTTTGTTTTTAGCTTTATTATTTATTCTTTTTAAAAGGAGCCAAACCTGGGGGGCTGGCGAGATGGCCCAGTGGGTAAGAGCACTTGCTGTTCTTGCAGAAGACCCAGGTTCTATTTCCAGCACCCACGTGCTGGGTCCACACCTATCTCCAAAAACTCCAGTCCCAGGGAATCCAACACCCTCTTCTGACCTCCTCAGGCACCAGGCATGCATGTGGTGCACAGACATACGCACAGGGAAAACACTCATACACGTAAAGTAAAAATAAATAGGCGAAGGAGGGTTACAAAGAAGTTCTGGGTACGGGCTAGCGATGGAGGAGTTTCGGAGACACAGGAGAAGGTGTCATTCCTCATATGGAAATAGTCCGCTCTGTTGAGACTTGAGGTGTGGTTAGTAGGAGCCTGCCCGTGAGCCCAGGAAATGTATCAGGCTCTCTTACAGGGCCCTGCCTCGCCATCACCTAGCCTCGCTCCCGAAGAGAAAGCATTGCCTCTTTCAGAACTAGAGTCACAAAGCACATGCGCAGTTCTCATCCCGAAATGGATGGCAGAAATGCCTACCAATTATACAGCACAGGCCAGAACACCATAGACGCTGAGTCAGACAGGCCAGTATGGTAGCCACCCCAGAGTCTCCTCAGGGCTCCATCTGTTTACCTCTATCTCCCTTCCTCCCTGGTCCCCCTGCACAGGCTCTCCCTACATGACCTGGAACTTGCGATACTCCTGCCTCTACCTCCAGGGTGCTGGGATTATCAGCCTGTGCCACCAAGCAGCTCTCTCTAGCTCACTCTAATGTTCCCTAAGGTTCTGCAACGCTCACACACTGCATAGTCAGTCCCCCTTCGGTCACAGATGGACCACGGGTACAAGGATGGTCCCACATGTGTGTGGTAATGCTAATTAAGCAGTTATGCAAAAGGACAGCCAAGGGCCAGTGAGATGCAGGATGCCACTTATTGCTATCAGTCTGCGTGATACGTTCCAATCTAGTGTTTGTTCAGTGAAGAAATCACCTAAGGACGCATTGCTCCTATGCTCCCCCCATCCCTCGTGACTGCATTAATAGTTAATATTTTTACCTTTTAAACATTCATTTGGATGCACACGCCACAGCACATGTGTGGAGGTCAGAAGACGGCTTTGGGGAATCACTTCTCCTTTTCTACCGTGTAGACAGACCTCTGGGCTCAAACTCAGGTCTTCAGCCTTGGCAGCAAGTGCCTTTAGCCACTGCGCCCGCTCCAAAGCCATTGGGGTTACAACTTTTTTTTTTTTTTTTTTTTTTTTTTAATGACAAGTGCACAGCCCGATGCCTGGGATTTTCTGTTTTCTAGTTTTAAGAGGAATGTGAATGCATGCATGGGTGGGCTTTGTGAAAAGAAGCAGAGAGTGCCTCTAAACAAAAAGGGGGGAGGGGCTGCTTTTCATCCAAGCGCCTCTGGGACCCTCGGGATCTGTTTAACCAGAAGTATGTATATCTTGTCTTATTTTTCAAAGCACAGAGAATAATCCAACAAAGCACCCACATGCCCACACAGCCTGCAGCTTCAGAAATAAAACATCACAGCCACATCTGACAGGCTCGTCCCTCACCCTCCCGCCTCGCCCTTTCCTAGAAGTAACAATGACCCTGAATTCAGCATGAACCATTCTCCTGTACACGTCTAAACTGCTCTTGTTTTGCACATGCCCAAAATTAATTTAGCTAATATTTATTCGTGTACTGAGTACCCTACCACCACAGTCCTTTGCAGTGCAGGGAGTTTCATAACTCCACGCTGTCTTCCGAGGCCTTGCCATGTTGATAGAAGGCTTTTTACAGACTCACAAGTGAGTTTTTAAATATCAGATCTGCATATAATACTTGCATATCTAGTGCTTGTGATTATATGTTTGAACACCAAAAAGATGTTTTCCCCCCTGTGGCTAGACAAACATTCTGTGAGTATGTGGCATTGGATGTCGGGCCCCACCAAGCGCATACATTGTACGTCTTGTGTGTGTGCAAGCATGGGCGTGAGAGCATGAGGTGTGGACTGTCCTAGAGCTGACGGCTGTCTTCCGCCTCCACGGAAGATGTGCCTTTGCCGGCGGTGTGATCGGGAGAATGGGATTTCTTTTTCTAGAGTGTGAGCCCTGAACTGTAAGGAGAGCCATGAACAGCCCCAGAAGCCAACTTAGGATGCAGACAGAGAGAAACAACTCTGTCCTGTTCCATGCCAGTGACAGTCTTGTGTGGCTCTGCTGTCGCTGAGGTGATTAACCGTGACTGTCTCCTGGACTAGGTTAAGAATTGTCTAGATTAGCAAAGCTCACATCTGTGTGTCTGTGAGGTTTCCAGATCACGAGGGCTTGACCCAATCAATAGACCCCTCCCTTGATGTGTTCATGTCATGACACTTTTATCAAGAGGTGGTGAAAGGGAAGGAGGCAGCGTCTACTTGGAGGAAGTAAGTCCCTGAGGGCGTGTCCTTGAAGGTTACATCCTACCTGGTCTTGACCTGTATTTCTTTTACCCTGCTTTCTGGGCTCCAGGCATGAAGAACGCCCTCCCTCGCACACACTCCTGTCACTGTGAGGTTCTGCCCAAGCACACAGCGCCAACTGACCAACCCTCCAAAACCCTGAGTCCGGGGAACTCCCTCCTTTTATGTTGTTCTCCCGTGTGGTCCGGTCACAGCTGCGGAGGCACACGGCACAGGATGGTGGACAGGCTCAGGCCTGTTTTGCATGCTGCTTGACTTTGACTCACTGACATTGTGTCTGAGGTCCACACAGGAAAGAGCCATTGCTTTAGCGGATGTGTTTGTTCATGTGACTACTCCCCTTTGGGTGAACGATCTAGAATGGGCAAGTGTGTGAGGTGCTCAGACAGCAGGGTGCTAGATGAGTGACATTAACTGCCCTGGCCACATCAGCGTAGGGAAAGTCTAGGGTCTAACTAACTCCAAACTCGGTCACTTTCCTAGAGCCTTGGATAACTTGAGATGAAGCTAGGGACGTCTGAGACGTGTAGTTTTGAGAACCTAAGATTCTGTCAACATACTGACAAGTCATAATCAGCCACACTCTCTCTCCCTTTCAGACCCCTCCAGCCCTCCTGACATAAGGGACAGGGGTACCTTTGTGGCAATAGTGCGCAGCTCGTCTCCTGAAAAAAATGTTAAGAAAGGTGCCAAGTCCTTTGTCGTCTCTGCTGTCCAGTTCTGAAGAGGTCTAGGAAGAGATTCGAGTGGCAAAATGAAAAAGCACGTCACGGTGGATACTGGATGCCATCATCCATCCCATCATCCTTCATACCCAGAAAGGCTGACAGTCAGGTCTTCTCAAAAAGAAAAAGAACAACAGGCATTTGGTACGGACGGGCCAATCAGTCACCCCTAGAACTTTTGCTGGAACTACCACGAGGCTCTTTCTTTTCTCTGCTATCTCTCCCATGAAAGAAGATCCTAGAGGTCAATCTCGTCATCACATGAAGAAAATGAGGGCCACTCCAAGGCCCCCTGAGGGGTAGGAGGAATATACCCATAATAACACCAGTTAGGGACATGGATCCAGCCGTACCTGAAGTCCACCCATGGAATTCTCTATCTATATTGTTTCTGAACTCAGAGAATCCCTACTTTGTTAGTCTGAATTGAAGTCCCTGCTCTCTGCCACATAAAACAGTGCTTCCTCGTTCCCTTGCTCAACAAGAGACTAAATCATAACGGACCTGTCTTACAGAAACAAAGATTTAAAAAAAAAAAATCTCTCGAACTTGGCACTGACCCAGAATCTACTTAGATAGATCATAAATGTCTACAATGAAATGTATGTTTGGTAACATCTCTAAAAAGAGGGCAATCAAATTAGCACTGATAAACCTCCTTAAGCAGATCAAAAAGTCCCTACTCCTGTGTGTGTGTGTGTGTGTGTGTGTGTGTGTGTGTGTGTGTGTGTGTTTCTCAGTGTACCCCTGGCTGTACTGGAACTCATGCTTTAGAACAAGCTGTCCTTGAACTCAGAGGCCACCTGCCTTTGCCTCCTGGGTGCTGGATTAAAGGCATGAGGCACAAATGACCAGCCTCAACATTTTTTTTTCATTTTTATCATATTCATTTATTTATGGAAAGATGACATGTGCCACAGCAGGCACGTGGAGGGAGTCAATTCCCTCCTTCCACAAAATTATCCAGGAAATCAAATTCAAATCTTCTGCCTTAGCAACAGGCACCTTCACTCCATGAGCCATCTCGCTGGCCCAGCATCGGTTTCTTAACAGAATAATGTAGAGAAACAGAACTTCTCACTCATTGATAGAAAGAGTAAAAGATGGGGCAGCCTCTGTGGAAAACACTTTGATGGTTTCTTACAAAACCGTATGTGGCCCAGCAACCGCACAGTTCTGCATTTACAAAGGGGTTTGAAAGCTTCTGTCCCTAAAATATATGCATCCAAATGTTTACAGCATCTTTCATTATAATGGCCAAAACTTGGAAGGCACACAGAGATGTCCTCCAGTTGGTGAATGGATAAATCGTCCCAGATGCCTCCAGACAGTGGGATGTTATTCCGGGCAAGTGAAATGAACCATCAAGCCATGAAAAAGACAGGAAGAAAACTTAAATGAACATTATTAGGTGAAAGGAGCCTATTTGAAAAGGCTAAATACTGCATGCTCCCCTCACATGACCATCAGAGAAGACAAAGCTATCAGCAGTGACCAGAGACACAGGGCTGGAGGACTGACCAGGCAAGAGCAGAGGCTGTTAAAATAGAAAAACACTAAATATGCTTATTTTTTATTTTATCATCTTTACATTATGGGGGAGCCCATGCCATGGGCACATGTGTGAAGGTCATAAAACAGCTTACAGTAATCCACAATTTCCCTCCACTACGTGGGTTCCAGGGACCAAATTCAGGTCATCTGACTTAGCTGAGACAGCTTGTGTGTGTGTGTGTGTGTGTGTGTGTGTGTGTGTGTGTGTGTGTGTACATATATAGAGAGAGAAGCTTCTCAAGACAGGGTTTCTCTGTGTAGCCTTGGCTGTCCTAGAACTCACTCTGTAGACCAGGCTGGCCTCGAACTCAGAGATCCACCTGCCTCTGCCTCCCAAGTGCTGGGATTATAGGTTTAATATATTATATTAAATATGATATTTTAATGGGGAATACGGCATTTGCCCAAACCTAATGAATGTATACCGAGAGTGAACCCTCGTGTAAACTCTGGACCTTGGGTGCTAATGCCAACACTGATGTTAATTTGATTGGAATAGAGACACAGCTCTGGGAGGGACTAGTGTAATAGGGAAGCTATGCCCGAGGAGTCAATGGGCAGAGGAGACACACGGAAGTGCCTACCTTCTTCTCGACTTCTCTGTGAACCGAAAACTACTCTTGCCAAGTACGGTGATACAAGCCTGCAATCCTGGCACTCGGGAGGTAAACGAGGGAGGATCACAGTTCAAGACTAGCCTGGGCTACATAACTCAAGGCCGGCTGGAATTACCTAGAAAGAGCCTGCCTCAAAATAAGGAGGGCTGGGAACGTAGCCCACTGGAAGAGCACTTGCTAACCCGAAAAAGGCACTGGATTCTATCTCCAGCACTCAGAAAGAAGCCTCCAAAGCAGTGTGATGGTACCGGGCATTTAAAGTGTTGTGTCCTCGTGAGGGTGTGTGTATGTGTGTGAGCACCTGTGGATACATGCACACACGTATGAGAGGACAGCCCTGGGTGTTAGTCCTCAAAGGCTATCCACCTCTTGTCTTTTGGGGACAGGGCCTCTCAGTGGCCTGAAGCTCAATAGGTAAGCTAGCCAGGCTGGCCATGGAGCCCTTCCTCTCCCCAAGGCTGAATTACAGACACATGTCACCACACCTGACACTTTCACACGTCTCCTGGAAATTATTGGGACTACAGTGCAACAAGCACCCTACCAATGAGCCAGCTCTCTGGCCCCTGAGAGAGGGCCGCGTCCTCAAAACTCTACCCCCTCCAAACCCCACGGTGAGTTGGCGATGCCCACATGGAGCCTGCTGCCAGCTATGACTATTCCCACTTGGCAGGGGTCCTGAAGCCAGGAGGTGAAAGGTCACAGGTTCAATGTCAACAGAGGTGTCTCTTCCTAGCCTGGTGGTCTTCTTTGCAGAGAACAGGAAGCAGCAGAGCCAGGCCACTCTCACCCAATCTGCCACAGCCCCAACCACCCAGCAGACCCCTCTTACCCCCACTGCTCCAGGAGCCTGGACCTCACGGCAGCCTTCTGCTCAGAGCCGAGAGCTGCGCAGCCTCTGAGGCCATGCAGAGCGGTAGCCCAGGCTCTACGTGAGATCCCTGTCTCAATGAAGGTGGCTGGCAGGTGGCACAGGAGGTTACCTACAATGTCCACGGTGTACTCATCAGCAATGACACCATCCTGAAACAACAAGCGTAGCTGATGGGATGTCCAGCTGGCATCAAGCTTGTGACCTGCTAAGAATACTCCCCACCCCCAAACCTTATAAGGTTTTCTGGATCAGAATAGCCTACCTTGCCACAGACCACCAAAGATGGTGCTGAGTCTGATTTGCCCACTCGGGGAATCCCCAGCCTTGCTCACGCTCTGCGCTCAGTAAATAGAATCTGTTGTCATTGTTACCATTCTAGGGATACTGTGGAGTTTGATAGCCATGAGCAGGGCACACAGCTCAGTAGTAGAGCACCCAAAAATGCACAAGGCCCTGGGCTCCATCAGCAGCAACGTAAGAGAGAAATCATAGCATGACAAAGGAAGCAGCTCCAGAGCCTCCAGAATTCTTTCTCAAAATGCCAAGGGCAGCACGCACAGTGTGTTTGCTGTGGGTCAAGCACTGTGCTAAGTCTTACTGGCCTTAATCCACTCCATCATCGTAGGAAGATAAAGAAAATTCCCAAGCATTCTGTCCAGGACCCCGGCATTCAGCAAGGCATTGCCCACTTGATGCCCACACAAGCTGCAGAATGCTGTTCTTTTGCATGCACGTGGCTGAGGCAGAGGAAGGGTTTGCTAAAGCCACAGAACCGGTTGCTCGCAAGGCTTGAAAAGAACCCGGTCCTCCACAGTGGCACAGCGGCTGTCCAGTGTTCTCTCTCCAAATGGAAGTCTCCAGAATCAACGGCCACTCCAAACAAGAACTTCAGTGCCGCCCTTGAGACTCACAAGTCAGACTTGTCATCATCACTGCAGGCCCACGATCCATCAAATTCCCATCAGTAGCTCCCTGAGACACACACACACACACACACACACACACACACACACACACATCCAGAGTCTCACACAAGCAGCTCCCTGAGACTCACACAAGCACACAGTCTGGGCAACAGGGAAAAGTGTCTCCCAGGGAAGTCCCCTCACTCACCAGACACTGTTGCACCTTCCTGATGACCAGACTCCTTTTGTGGGGATCTAAAACCAAGGTGTCCAAGTGTCTCTTTCCCAGGCTGATGAGAAAACGTACACAGCGAGAGGGGGAAATTGATGTCAGGAAGCGGGACCTACAGAGAGACCAGAAGATGGAGAAAAGCAGTGTCTGTTCTGCTCTAGCCTCTGAGACCAGAGGTAGCATCAGCACCGGGGGCCACCCCAGGGCTTTCCTGAAAGCAAGAGCTCTCCCAGAGATATGCCTCGTGTCCGAAAGCAAGTCTCCTGCCCATCACACTCTAATTTAGAGTCTGTGCGAAACATTGTCTATTCAGAGCTCAGAAGTAATCCCAGGTTCCAAGGTCCTGAGATGTCTAAGGCATTCTCCACCCTGCCTCTGGTTTCTTAATAAAACCTGGGATGGTGGGGGAGGGATAATTGAAAACTCTGGGGACCCCCCTCGTCTGGTGGCTGAATCAGAAAGGGGCTCACTTACGGAAGGGTGGCCAAAAGGAATGGAGGCATGGAGGACCTTGAAACTTCCCAGTATTTCCATGCCAAGCAATTGACCTGCAGGATAAGCACCAACAATAATAAAATCAAACGCAGACAATGCTTTACAAATGTTGATTTATGTGCCAGAGTGCCTCACGGCGTAGGTGCCACTCCTTTGAACACTAACAGCTGAGGAGAATGAGGCAATAATGAGATGAATATATACATTTAAGTATATGAACCATCTCTTTTATGATTACAAAAGAATGAGATAGCATCTATGTCCCTCAACAGGAAGTCAAACTCCTGGCATATGAATAGAACAGAATATTATGTGACAGTTTTGATTTTTCATTATATTTATTCATTTATGTGTGTGAGCAAGTTTTGCCACGGAATGTATTTAGAGCCCAGAAGACAATTTCTCCCTTTCCACCATGTGTATCCCAAGGATTCTGAACTTGAGTTTCTGGGCTTGACAGAAAGCACTTTGACCTGCTAAGCCATCTTTCCAGTCCTTACGCAACTATTTTTATTTAATAATATAGATTTATATAGTAACATTATAACTGTACACACAGATAGTGAGGGATTTGGTATGAGTCTGTGCATTTTTTACAAATATTGGAGAGGGCACTGAGGTGTTTGTGCTCACAGATAAGAACTAACAGAAGAGCCAGGTAGTGGTGGTACGCACATTGAATCTCAGCACTTGGGAGGCAGAGGCAGGCAGAGCTCCGGGTTCAAGGCCAGCCTGGCCTATAGAGTGAGTTCCAGGACATCCAGGGCTACACAGAGAAACAAAAAGAATTAAGAGAACCTGGAATTCCACCTACTCTCCACCCAGGAAGACAATCTGCAGTGTTACCCACCCTGAGAGCAGACGTGCTCTCTATATCTGGTTCTAGCCAGTTTAATATTATATCTGTATCATTTTGCAATTAACCCAGGCCCAGCCCTGGCTTCAGGAGAGAGCAGGGAGCAGGGACTCGCTCCATTGGTACCTGATCTGGTGAGAGCAGGGAGAAGTTGTTCTCAAAGTACTGGAAGTGGGCCAGGAAGACACGGGCACTCATGGCATCAATGTGTGAGCACTGCATGCCTTTCACCAGCTGTCCAGCCCTGGGAAACAAAATGAGGGCCTCTGAGAAGGGGGTCAGGAGAGGAGAAGAAGGAAGAGGCCAAGGAAGGCCTATTCCGCCCAACATGGGCTGAGCACTAAACGGCACTAAACATGCTGGGATTTTCTAATGTCCCTACAGGCTCTGAATTCCAGTGTTTGGTCCTCAAAGCGTTACTTTGGGAGATTCTCGAAACAGGAAGTAGGGCAGAGTTAGAGGAAATAGGTCACTGGGGCAGGTCTTTGGGGACATGCCTACTTCTCATCTTCCTCACTGTTTTGTCCCACCATGATGTGAACTGCTGTGTTCTACTCTGCCCCTCCCTGCCATGATGGACTGAAGCCTTTGAAACGGTGAGCCAAGACAAAAATTTTCCTCCTTTAAGTTGCTTTAATTTGCATGTGTGTGTGTGTGTGTGTGTGTGTGTGTGTGTGTGTGTGTGAGTGTGCGTGTGCACGTATACGACATACATGTGAAGATCAGAGGAAAGCTTGCAAGAGTTGGTTCTGTGGCTTGAACTCAAGATATCAGGCTTAGCAGCAAGTGCCTTAAGCCACGGAGCCATCTCACTGGTCCTCACTCAGCGTTTGGTATTTTCCCACAGCTCCGCTGGCCCTGCTGCAAAATCGGGCTTCTTTGCAGAAGGCTTCCAAGAGCTGCTCGGGCCAGGCTGTCACACTGTCCTACCTCAGGAGCTCCTCGGGCCGTCCTGTGGTCTTTTCCAGAAGTTCATACAGGAACAAGGCCTGAGGAAAGAGGGATGGACAGCAGCGGTGGAGCCCAGCACACGGAGGCCCTACGGGGAAAGCACCCTGTGACCTCATCTCATAGATGGAGGAACAGAGGCTGACCCAGGTCGTTACTAACCCAAGGCCTCCAGCCACTAAGTAGCCGAGCCAGAATTTGAAATAACATCAGGAGCAATCTCAGAGCACAGCCTACCACACTCCAAATGAGCCTCTGTGCTCTAAAGCAGAGGTTTCCAACCTGCCGGTCTCAAGCCCTTTGAGGTCAAATGACTCTTTCATGGGGTCATCTAAGACCATCTGCATACCAGGTATTTATATGACAATTCATGAGAGCCGCAAAATTACAGTTATGAAATAGCAACAAAAATAATTTTATGGTTGGGGGGAGGGGTCACCACAAAACGAGGAACCGTATTAAGGGGTTGTAGCATTAGAGAGGCCGAGTGGGGAACAGAGGCTTGGCACGGCAGGGCTGAAGTCTAACTACCTTAACTTCACAAAGCTGCTGCCCTGTGAAGGCTCCGGTGGTCTCCCTTTGTGTGCTCACCTGCCAGCCCTGAACCCAAACAGCAATGATGGCACCAGCGTGGACCAGAAAGTAACATCAATAGAAGAGCGCAGGCCCACAGCACACACTCCCCTCAAACCCTCCCAGATGAGCACTCTGGGATGCTACAGAGTAGGCAGGGGAGCCATTTGTTTTAAGGGATGGAATTTTACAGAACACCTAACTTGCAGAAGCGATCAAGTGCGACATTTGTCTATTTTATAGACTCTAAAACTTTGAACGTAATTCCCCAAATGTGGTAAATTATGAGCTAGAGTTAGACAGAGGCTTCTGGGATGTGACAGCTGCGGGCCTTAAAGTCTCATAAGGGCCTAGGCAAAAAAGAGGTGGGGTGGAGGGAAGTTCCTGGTCCTCTGTGGTTCCAAGGACAGCAGGAACCCTCCCCCACAGGCTTCCTGATCTCAGGAAATGAAAACTCCATCAGCCCAGCTGCTGGGACAAAAAAATACTTTAAGGTTGTCCACAGATGGGTGAGTTTTTCCAGAATGAAACAAATACTCAAGCTGCTGAACTTGGCAGTGTTTTGTCATAGGGCAGCAGAGTGCTGTACCAGCATTCGGCCTTGTGGAAGCCCCCACAGAAGATGCCCTGCTGTTTCGTTCACTTCTGCATCCCTGGCTCCTAAGTGGTGCTGGGAACACGGTAAGCCTGTGCTCGATAAACATTTCCAGAGCCCGGAGAGATGGTTCAACAGGAGAAGTGCTTTCCACACAAGCATGAAGACCGGAGTTTGTACCTCCCAAACCCATGCAAAAGCCCAGCGCAGTAGCACACATGTGTGATCCCAGTTCCTCTCTAGAGAGATGGAAAGCAGAGACAGGGAAATCCCTGGGAGCTCCTAGGGCAGCTAGGTGGGTGTATGCTTCAAGGAACAACAAAGAGACCTTGTCTCAAGCGAGGCAGAAGATGAAGGAGGATCCTCACGATTGTCCTCTGCCCACCACCACACGCCATGGGCCACCACACACACACGTAAACATTTCAGGAGCGATGGCTGGGCTTGGTCAATAAAGCACTCTGCATGCAAGCAGAAGGCTATGGGTTTGGCCCCCAGAACCCACAAAAAGATGCAAGATGTGTTTCCACTGGTGGGATAAAGGCAGGGGCAGGGCTCCCTGACCAACCAACCTCGCTGAGTCAGCAAGTTCTAGGTGAGTGCTGAGAGACTCGGTCCCCAAAAGCAAGGTAAAGGGTGACCAGGGAAGACACCTGAGGCTGAGCTCTGGCCTCCACACGCATGTACAGATATATACCAAACATATACACAGGCACATGCAAAATTATTCCACAAGTGAATGAGAATGGAAGTGAAGTGACTCAACAGGAAGTCGGGGGAAGGTTCCATGGCCAGAGATTAGTCTCAATAGCAGCATCCTCTCCAAAGAGCCTGGATGCTGGCACTATCTAACCATGAGCACGGTGGTGCATGACATTTCCAGCATGCTGCTCTCGGGCCAGATGTTGAAACTGTTGTCCGCAATCAACCTCATCCTACACCTAAGACTTCTAAGGCCATGTAAACAGAAGTCATTTCTCCCAGCCGTTAAATGGCAGTCCGAATTCATCCTCACGCCTCGCCTGACGTCTTACCACACACTACCTGGGTTCTTGGGCTTAATAACAAAGAAATAAAGTGTCTTTACCAAACTGACCCCAAACGGATCACTCCCAGTGAGAAATACATACCCAGAGTTGGCGATGTAACTCAACAAAAACACGCTCGCCTGTCATGTAGGAGGCCCTGAGTTCTACTCCCGTCACCGTAGAAAGAAATACGGGATTGAGCCATGAACACTGCAGTCCTACCTGGCTCCTTCGGAGCTCCTTTTCCTTCAGGACTGTGGCATTGAATCGGGATTCTTTCCATAAATCGTAGAGAGAGACCTCCTTAAAGAGAGCTCTTGGTATCTCTGCAACACCCGAGGCAGCATCTTCTGTTTCCATCAGCTACCGAGATTGACAGGGAAGAAAGACAGCGACGGCCTTATAAAGGGGACATTGAGTTCTGGGCCACAGAACTTATCTGATCTGCTTAGCAACCACAGGACGTAGGAACTGTGCTACCCCCATTTTACAGGTGACCAAACTGAGGCTTGAAAGCGGTACGTTGAAAGCTGATCGATGTGACTGAAGCCTGAGTCTGAGGGGTTCTAAAACCCACTGTTATAGACAGAATATGAACTGACCCCACCCCCAAAAAAATCTTATATTTTGAAAACTAACTCCCACAGATGCTAGTAAAACTGTTATGGGGGAATTGTGGAAACCTTAACAAGTGGGGCCTACCTAAAGGAAGAAGACCAGTAGGGGATAAATCTTTGGAGATATACAACCCCTGGCCTGGCCGTTTCCTGTCTTGTTCTCGGTTTCCTGGTCAGCCATGAAGTGAACAGCTCTTCTAAGCCACACTTCCACACTCTGTCCAAGCACATGAGGCCAAGCAACTACAAACTGACACCCTAAACCTACAAACGCAGATTAATCCTTCCTCCTTTAACTTGTTTTTGTCAGGTATTTGGGTCAAAATAACAAAAAAAAAAAAAAAATGGGGGGGGGGACTAATATACTCAAAGTCTATTTTAACCATACCCACTACTGCTCTTTGCAAAGTCTGGTATTTTCAAACAAGCACCGTGGGCTTGGTTTCCTAGCAGATTCTGTAACTGGACACAATGGGCATGGTGGAACAAAATGCCCAAAAGATCAACACATGAATGGGTCCAAAGCACTCTGCAAACTTCAGGATTCAAACACATGTTTGAAAGGTTGTAAGAGCCAACTGCGATGGAGGGTGCCCGCCTGTAAGGCAGGAGAATATCGAACTTGAGGCCAACCTGGGCTCCACAGTATCAGACCTTAGAAACAATAATCATCTGAAACTCAGTCAAGAAGCTTAGTTTTCGAAAAGTCCTCCATATCAGACTGTCTAGGAAAGCAACAGTGTCTAAGAAAAGTGTAACGTGGTCAAAGACAATCTGTCTGGAAGGGAAGAAGGTGCCACTAGGGGCCACACATTCTGGATTCAGAACACCCGACCCACCAAGGCAACTCAGACAAAATAAATGGCCCAAAGTCATAGCCTATTCACAGACTCTGAAAACCATGCCCTCTGTGACCTGTGTGACTAAGGACGAGGCATCTACCCCTCACCTTGCTGAGGACACCTTGCTGCTGGACAGGTGACAAATCAGACATGTACTGGGAAACAGGGCTTCTCAACACCTGCCAGAGATCCTTGTGGTCCATGCTGTAGAAGGCTTGTGTGCTCACTCCTGACAGCAGCACACCCATCTGGCTGACATTGTAGAAGGACAGCACCTAGTGGAGAAACAGCCAAGGGATCATGCTCTCAGACATCTGCTGGACCAACCTGATGCAGGTACTTGGGGGGAACGGGGCCAACAGCCAAGGGATCCACCAGGGAGCAAGACACCCATAACTTCCCTTCTTTTATCAGGAAAAAACTGTTAAATATCAAAACACAAGGCCGTTCTAAAGCTCTCTGCTGTGGACTGCTATACTTTGCAAGCCCATGGTGAACATAATTTTTTTTTTTAAGTGTTAACCCTTGAGCCATTAATCAGCTTTTGTTTTCGCTACTTGACGCTGGGAAAAGAGATGAGCCTCTTTGTCCAGAACAAGGAGGCAATGAAACAATCTCCCTCTGCTCCCTGCACAGAAAATGTCATCATGGACCCCCAGAGCCTCAATCAAGGTCCAGGAAAATCCAAGGTCTTCAGAGCCTCAAAATGAAGGCTAGCGGAACAAAATGAGTGCTGGCCTTGGCCTTGAGTACAAAGCGAACAAACTTGTGAGCCCTGGTTGCCTTAGCTAAGTTAGTACTGCTGTGATGAAACGCCATGACCAAGAAGCAAGTTGGGGAAGAAAATATTTATTTGGCTTGGGAAAGAAGTCAGGACAGAAACTCAAAAAGGGCAGGAACCTGGAGCCAGGAGCTGGTGCAGAGGCCATGGAGGGCTGCTGCTTACTGGTTTGCTCCCCATGGTTTGCTCAGCCTGCTTTCTCATAGAACCCAGGACCACCAGCCCAGGGTTGGCACCACCCACAGTGGGCTGGGGCCTCCCCCATCAATCACTAATTAAGAAAGTGCCCTAAAGGCTTGCCTATAGCCAGATCTTACGGAGGCATTTTCTCAATTGAAGCTGCCTCCTCTCTGATGCCTCTAGCTTGTGTCAAGTTGACATAAAACAAAAACTAGCCAGTTCAGTGGCCATGGCGCCATGTTGGAGATAGCATTCATAAAGAGACTCTACAACAGATGCCTTGGGCTCTGCCCCCTGCCTTTCCCTCCCACTGTGACAATGGCAATTCGGTCCCTTACATTCTCTGTGTCCCACGTGAATAACCTCAGACGTGAAGATTGTTAACCCCATGAGCTCATTAGGTTGATAGGAAGACTAAATGAATAACCCGCTTAGACCAGATCCTGGAATACAGTAAGTGCTTCATAAATGCTTGGTATTATTGTTACACTGTAACTTGTCCCAAATCAACTGTCAAGAGCCTGTTGACATCCTAGAAGGTAGCTAATAGTGTGGAATACCTACGTGTTTAGGAACCAAATCTTGGGGCTCTGGAGACTTTTTAACTAGACCCAACATAAAGACAACTCATAAGAAGGTCTAGAAGGACAGCTACTGTGTGGACCAAAGCTCCTGCCCTCCAAATGGGACTTTCTTCCCTCACAGTTCCCTCCCCGAAGCCCAAGGCTGAGACAAAACAGCATCATACGTGACCCTCGTGTGATGGGTAATCCTGCCTGCCAACCTGTATTGAGAGATACCTAAGAGACTAGTAAAGCACGCTCTGGACATGGCTTTTAGGGTATTTTCAGAAAGATTTCAGCTTCCTGGCCACCTTGAGATGAACAGCCTACTCTTCCACACAGTCTTTCTGCCATGATGTTTTGTGCAACCTCATACTCAAAGGAACAGAGCCAGCTGAGCACAGACTGAAATCCCTGACTCCACAAAGCAAAGCAAGTCTTTCCTCCTTCAGCCTGGTTCTCTTGGGTAGCTGCCACAGGCAAGGAAATCTGGCTAACATGCAGTTTAGGAGGTGTGTCCTGAAGCCATAGGAACATAGAAGATTTTGGGTGTGTGTCCAACAAGTGTCCACAGCTGAGTAGCAGCTTTATCAATGAGTTCACAGTTTGTCCCCTCTTCCCCATGCTCATTCACCTCCCTGGGCAGTGCTCAAGTAATCTGCAGCAGTACTGAGGGAGGGTGCTATTCTTAGCCATAAATAGAAGGACTAGGATGAAGAGATATTAAGTGATTGCATCATGTCACACAACAAGCAGATGACAAGTCACCTCCTCAACACATCTTCTGTATAGATGCTTCTGCTGTGTGTGCTGATGGTTACGGAGAGAATGTTTGTGCCCTCCCCAAAATACATACCCTGAATCCTAACCCCTGTGTTGGGTTGTAATGAGGTCATGAGATACCTTGGTTAGTTTTATGCCAACTTGACACAAGTTAGAGTCGTTTGGGAAAAAGGACTCGCAAATGCTTCAATTGGCCTATAGGCAAGTCTCTCCGGTATTTTCTTGATTGATGCTGGACATGGGAGGGCCCAGGCCACTTCAGGTAGTACTGCCTTATAGGAAGGTAGTCCTGAGTGGGCTGAGCAAGCAATGGGGAGCAAGCCAATGAGAAGCATTCCTCCATAGCTTCTACTTCAGTTCCTGTCTCCAGTTTCCTGCCATGGCTTCCCCTAAGGATGAACTGTTACCTGTAAGCTAGGTAAACCCTTTCTTCCCACATTGCTTCTGGTAATGTGTTTTACCACAGGAATAGAAACCCTAAGTCATGAGAAAATTAGAGTTAGGCAAGGGTCTGAACTGACAGAATTAATGCCTTTACCAGAAGAGAAACCAGACCTGGGGAGATGGCCCTCAGTAAGCAAAGGGCTTTCTGCACAAGCGTGAGGACCCTAAGTTTGTATTCCAGGCACCCACATAAAAAGCACTGGGCTGAGTGGCAGAGACGGGTGGATCCTTAGGGCTTGTTGTCTGGCCAGTCTAGCTAAAATGGCAAGCTCTAAGTTCAATGAGAGACCCTGTCTGAGTAAAACAAAGTAGAGAAATGCTTGAAGAAGACATCTCAACATCCCTCTGGCCTCTATACATACCTGTACAAATGAGCATACATGTATACACAAAGAGACAGAGACAGAGCAAGCTTGCTGTCACAGAGTTCACATAAGTACACAGAAAGATGTCTGTTGTCTACAGCTAAAACAACAGACCTCGAAATTAAGCTACCCAAAAGCATGAGAAGGAAATTCCTGGTGTTTAAACCACCGACTCTGTGTTATTTGGTTACAGCAACCTGATTAACATTGCGCTGGCCCTCATGCACTCCAGGAAAGTTGAAAGTTCCAGCTGACCTTTTCTTGGGCCAGGTATTTGGCAGACAACACGACAATCTGGCTTCTGCTCCAGCCTGTAACCTGGTTGAGGGTAGAGATGGCGCTGTGTACCGCGTCAGGAGAGAGGGATTCCAGCTGACTGCTGGTCAGACCCACAACTGCATCTGACAGAGAGCCTAGGGTCTCGTTGAGGGTCTGGTTCACTGTGGCAATGTTCAGGAGGTTGGCCTTGAGCTGGAGAGATAACAAACCGGTATGGGTGTTGACAGAAAACAAGGCAGCAGCTCCCTCCAAACACATCTGGTTGTAAGGACTCTCCCTAGACTCAGGCCCAGGGACTACAAAGCAAGGGATTCCTGGCCATGGCTAGACAGTGACTGGCTCTCTGAAAATGCATCCTCCAGGCCTAGCTTTCATGTTCTGAAAATTCACTTTGGGTTTCATTTAAATATTAATGTGTTGTTAACTCAACCTTTAAGCAGGGCAGGAAGAATCATATTCCCTTGTGACTCCACCACATTTTGTAGTGTCTTTCTTCCTGTTGTGATTTTGAGCTCTATATCCATATATTTGGTTGCTTTTCTTTGTGAACTACCCAGGGGCTTTTTCATGGTAATGTGTAATCTACATAAAAAATAATTCTTAGCAGCACAAGAAAGATAAAGTGAAAATCTAGACTCATGAAAGTAACTATGGAAATGATCAAATGAGCATAGAACTCAGTCACAGAACACATCCCAAAGGAGGGAAGGAAGTGGATTTAGGAAGGAAGGCAGGAAGGAAGGAAGGAAGGAAGGAAGGAAGGAAGGAAGGAAGGAAGGAAGGAAGAAAGGGGGGGAAGGGGAAGGAAAAAGAGTAAAGGAAGGAAGAAAGAAGGAAAAAGGAGGGAGAAAGAGGGATGGAGGAAGTGGAAAAAGAAAGGGGGAGTAGGGAGAAATGGGAAGGAAAGAAGGAGGTATGAAAGGAAAAAGGAAGAAGCAAGGGGGAGGAAAGAAGAAGAGGTGAAGGAAGAAGGGAGGGAGAGGAGGGAGGAAGGGAAGAAGGAAGCTGGTGTTTATCTGTCCAGTTGGTCCTATGCCTTTAGAAACATACTGTGTAAAAGTTCTTACAGATTTATAGTATGTGCAGAACTACTTAATGCTCCACATTTCCATTTAAATCATATCTTATACATGTCTGCATGTTTCCAAGACTGTCTTAACAATTATTTTTGTTGTAATACACTTCCATAATTAGTCAAGAATTCCCATATGATTCTGGTAGGGAAGGTAATAAACTCGCCAACTGCATCTCAGCCTCTGTACAAAGAAAATGAGAGGCCAGTGAGATGGTTCAGTAGGTGGATGTTCTTCGCCACCAAGCCTCATGACCTCAGTTGGATCTCAGACCCCACAGGTGGATAAACAGAACTGACTCTCAGATGTTGTTCTCTGACCTCCATAGGCATCACGTCACATATATACACACAGAAACATGCACACAGAAACAAGAAATAAGCAAAACTAAATAGATGGATGGATGGATAGATAGATAGATAGATAGATAGATAGATAGATAGATAGATAGATAGATAGATAGATAGATAGATAGATAGATAGACAGATAGATAGACAGATAGATGGACAGATGGCTGTAAAGCATGAGGATAGTGACCTGTTTCAACACGTGAATTTGTATAAGCAACATTCGTTTCAGGTCGCACATGCATAACCCTTGAAGCTGCAATCTTGAAACCGCCACTTGGGGGCAGCAAAGCTAAGAGGAAGAAACCGGTTCAGGGTCACGTCAGCAGGCTCCCATCCCCAGAGCTGTGCGTTCCCAAGCCACAGAAGGAAGGGAGGAGTCAGTGGTGGCTCTCAGCACCTGCTCACTGGAAGCAGCAGCAGCACAGCGTGGCTAGAAATGCTTAACTCCAGACCACAGCCAGACCTGAGGGATCAGAGCGGGTCGCACAGAACCCAGTGGCGTGCATTTTAAGGAGTGAACCCAGTGAGCCCTCAAGCCTGAGAACTGCTGAGCTCTGCATCCCTAACCTGTTTCCCAGTGATCCAGAGGTGTCCCCCACGTTTTCCTTGGGCACAAAAACAGGCCTTGACAGAGAGATGACCATGACAGGAGATGATAGCTATAACAAGGTAGTTGAAATTATGTGTGGAAAAACTGCTGAGGAATTACTGGTGGCTTCACCAAGATTTTCTTTTAATAGTATTCTGTTATGGTTCTAATTTTTTTAATTTAAAAATGATTTGAAATTCAATGGAAAAAATGTAGAAATAAGAAAGCGAGGTATGGTAACATGGGCTTGAAATCCCAGCACTCAGCTTGCTGAGGCAGGAGGATGGCAAATTGGAGGCCAGCCAGGGCTGCATAACCAGACTTCACTGAAAAACTGAAATAAACTGAGAGGGAAAAGGATGGAGGCAGGGGTCGGGGGCGCCATCTGTATTTGCTAACTTGACCAGAAACAAGTCTAGATGCTCAGTAAATAGTAGACGCTCATCCAGAGCACCTCCATCCTGCCATGCTGGAATCAACTGGAGACTTTTATTTTGTATAATGAATGAGTATTGATGGAGAAGCGGTTCGCTCAAGTGCCACAACATGCAAGCAGCCATCAGGGGACGATTCACAGGAGTCAGTTCTCTCCTGCCACCTTGTGGGTTCTGGGCAATCAAACTCAGATCCTGAGCTTGGCCTTTGCCCTGGTGACTGTATTTTTGCCCCTCCAGTTCTCAGGGTTAAACTTAGGGACCCACAATTAGTGCAAGAATCCTACCATTGAGCTATATCCTTAAGGCCTTTTCATATATGGGGTTTTTTTGTTGTTGTTGTTGTTTTTGTTTTGAGACAAGGTCTTACTCAAGCTGACCCTGAATTTCTGAGCCTCCTGTTTTACTCTGCCAAGTAGCTGGGATCACAGGCCTGTGCTACCCTGCTGGGGCTCTGACCATCTTTAGAATCATGGCAAGGCCAGGCCTTTCCCCTACCTCAATAACGTCACTCCCTGGCGTGGAGCCTGACAGAGCTCCTGTGGAGCTCCTTGTTCTACGATTGCTCTGTCGGTCCTTCAGCCACTTGTCAGCACTGCTGGCCTCTCCCCAGACCCGAGCGGATCTGCTCTTAAGATGGACAGGCTGTGTTCCACCCAGATGCTGAGATTCTCCGATGAGCCTCCCACTCGCTTCAGTCGGCCCCGACTGTTCTGATAGAGACTCCACACCTCCATGTTGTCTCTGCCCTGTTTTGTGCCATTCTTCCCTGTACTCCTCCCCTCCAGGACCGAAGATGTCACTGCCAAGGTTAGAGTGCTTAATAACGTGTTTTCATTCTCAAAGCCGGGCAAACTGGTGAGACCAAGACGGAGGGGACGGACACACACACACACACACACACACACACACACACACACACACACAGTGACCCGAATCTCATTTCACCTTCTGGATACCAGCCTGGAAACCCTGGAGGCGGCTGCACTTGAGCATCTGGTGGAGAAGGACCTGGGCCAGGGTGGCGTCCAGAAGCTCCAGATCGTCATAGAAACAGACCAGCAGCCCCAACCTGCGTGAGAAGATAAGGGACTGGTGAGGTTGCTCAGAGCTGAGGGCCTCAGGACCCTTCCCCACCATCCAAACAATGAAAGCCATGTCAACACAGAGGCCATCACTCACCTGCTTCTTCCTACACATTACCCCTCAACAAACAAAATGGTTTCTAATAGCCCGGGGTATGGGTTAAATGTGCAATGTCATCCCCAGGCTCATGAGATCTCCAGCTGGTGGCAACCACGGTTGGAGGAGGCAGCTCACAGGGAGCAGATATTTGAGGATTATAGTCTGGTCTTTTCAACTTCCTGGTTGGTCATGGTGTAAGGACCGGTAGCTTTATGCACCGTCCCCATGTGCTCCTCGCCATGATGGGCTTTCCCCTCTGAAACTCTCCTTTTAAGTTGCTTCCGTTGAGTTTTTTTTTTTTTTTAATCACAGCAACAAGAAAAATAACAATATATAATAACTAATATAATCCCATTTCACAGAAGGGAAGACTGAGACCCAGAAGGATCAGGGAATTTGTTCCCAAGTAATGGAGCTGGAATTTAAATCTAGATCTATCCAACTAGGCCACCTCATCTCCTAAGAGGGCAAACACGGGGAAAGGAGGACGCCAAAATCCTCCCCAATCCACCCTGAATGGCAGCTCTGTTCCCAGGATGCATTACCGCCTACCCACACCGATGATGTTAAGACTTCAGAAGGAAAGAAACAGGCAGAATAATGCAGGAGCAGAGGGACTCAAACTCTGCTCTAGCTAGGAGCAGTATCTCTAGGGGTGAGGTCATAGACTCGGGCCAACTAGTTTGAAGGCCAGCTCTGTGAGATATTTGCCTCTGGTGAATCACTTGACTCCTCTTCCAGGTAGCTGCATACAGCAGCGCAGCACATGCTGTGAGCTACAGGACAGGATGAGCCTGTCTCTCCGAAGAGTTAGTAACTAGGTTCACTTCCGTCATCATAGTGCATCATGGGAAATATGATGATGCGGGAATGAGGGTGACTATGAAAGCAAGGACAGGTAGAACCAGTGATGAGTCTTCCCAGTGGGTACTAAGCCACCGGGAAGTGACTGTTCTAAGAGATCTTATGAAGATGTCCTGCTCAGGGTAGCCAGACCAGCTGGTTGACCGCAAGCAGCCTGGTTCAGCCCTCTCAGAATAATAGTGGCGTGTTTGGGCATGAACACAGGAGATCATTAAGCTACAGACAGGAAGGGTAGGATGGTGGTTACCAGAGACTGAGGGAGAGATGTCAACAGACACAGAACCTCAGTTAGGGAAGAGGATCAAGTTCTGGGAGCCATGGTGGCTATGGTTAACCACGGAGCTCACGGTGGATTCCAAGCATTCTGACCATGCATATACACACACATGTATAGAAGGAAACGGACATGCGAGTGACCCAGTTTAGCCAGTCTGCAATCTGTGGATGTTATGGGCGGGTTTTTTATTATTCATGGGTAGGAGCATGTGTGTGCATGTTGTGCACATTTGTGTGTCCCATAAGCTTCTGAGGGTTCTCCTGTTTCTGCCTCCCCCATCTCTCCATAGAAGAGCTGGCATTACAGATGCTCATGCTCTTTGCCCTGCTTTTATGTGGGCACTGGGATTCAAACTCAGGTCTTCACCCTTGCATAGCTAGTGTCTTTACCCACTGAGCCATCTCCCCAACCCTGTAGTTTCCATCTTGAATGTCCTTCAAAGGTTCATGGAGGTGATGATGAGGCCAAGGTCACAACTCTCAAGGAACAGAGTTAGGATTGAAACCAAGAAGTCTAGCTCTGGGTCCATGTCCCCTAATTACCAGGTTACATTTGTGTGTGTGTAAAATAGTGAAACAGGGTCCACCCTAGCGGGTGAAATTTATTATGGATGGGGAAGATTGTGACATAGTTCCAAATGAACACTCACTCTGGAAGGATTCATCTGAAAGATTTGAAGGTAAGAAGAGCCGTGACAGTCAGGACTCTGAGAGGATGGAGAGAACACGGTAGACTGGTTGGGTTTTTTGATACAAGCTTGGAGTCACCTCAGAAGAGGAAACCTCAGTAGTGCCTCCATCAGGGTAGTCTGTAGGCAAGTCTGTGGATGGTGCGGTCCCTGGGCTGGTGGTCCTGGGTTCTATAAGCAGGCTGAGCAAGCCATGGAGAGCAAAGGCAATAAGCAGTACCTCTCCATGTCTCGGCATCAGCTCCTGCCTCCAGGTTCCTGCCTTGAGTTCCCACCCTGGACTACAATCTGTAAGTTGAGATAAACCGCCAGCTTGCTCTTGGTATTTTATCAAAGCAACAAAAAACAGACTAGAACAGATCCCCTCACCAGTTCCCCCCCTGCCTGACCCACTCCCTCCCTCCAAGGTGAGGCATCCATGACTAGAAATGGCTAGAGATGAATATCATGGTACCATGACAAGATTCTAAACAGATTCTAATAGCCTAATGATAACAAAAGATTCTCTCATACACAGGAACCCACCAGCTGCTTCCAACACTTGCCCCAACTTATGGAAATGCCGTGTTCACCTTGCAATGGCACCCTGGGTACTGAAGATGGCCTAGCTCCAGCTCAGGGTTGGAAGAGGCACAGGGGAGGTGACAGAAAATGCTTGGGCTCCACGAGGTGCTCAAGGATTTGTTCCCTTTCCCTTTTCAAACATTTTTGAAGGGTGTCAAGTCCTTGGAAGCAAATTCCTCTCTTCAAATGCAGAGAAGTGTGGGACTATTCTCACACTATCCTCACAAATCTGGGAACCCCAGATTTGTGGTCACTCCAAGATAGCTGGTATGTAGACTGCATTTGTCCACATCTGAGTGTGTGTGTGTGCGTGTGCACGCGGATACACCCAGCTTTTTACCTGGGTGCTGGGGAATCTAACTCGGGTCTCTGCACTCATTTGCCAAGCATTTACTCACTGAGCCACCTCCCCAGCCCTTAGACCAAATACCGAGAGGGTCCAGGGCCATCCTTGCCTGTGGATGGTGGATACATTCCTCATGTCAAAGCTGGAGTAGCGGATCCTCTCCAGGAATGCCTGGGCCAGCTCAGGGGTGACATCATACACCATGTCCAGCTGCTTGGTGGCGTTGTCATAGCTGATAAACAGCCCAATCTGGTAGACAAGGATGGGAAGATGGGTGAGATCAGTGAGGAGGGTCAAGTGACCCAGTGGGGACCTATCCTGGCCGCTTGTGCTGTGCCCATCTCAGCCGTATGCTTATGTGCTACCAGTTCTCAACTCACTTTATTTCTCTTCACTTACTATTTTTTTAAATGTTCAGTGTATATACTCATTGTACATGGCTCCATGTTACACAAAGATGTTTCTATGAATATATATTCTGTGTTGAGCCCCCACCTCTCACCTTTCTCACCTCTCCCCCTCTTACCCCATTTGTTCCCTAAACATTTCATTTCTACTTTCATGTCTTACACACACACATGGTTTTATGTATCTGTACCAAATCTGGGAACATAAACAAAAGAAAGCATATTTGTATTTCTGGGACTGATTTAATTAGCTTGATATGATTATCTCCAGTTGCATTCATTTCCTGCAAACAACATAACTTCATTCTCTGGCTGAAATTTTCCATTGTGTAAAACTGGACTTAATGGGGAGAGAGACAAAAGAAAATAGCGATCTCAAAGTTGTGTGCCAGGGGACAGAAGGTGAAGACAGTCAAAATACAATAAAATTCTTCAATACTAATACAATATCATTAAGGAGTAAAAAGTCCCACTGACTGCACATAAACAAAGGTGAGAAGATTTTTTGAAAGCCCATTGTGCATACAGGACCATATTTTCCTCATCCACTCCTCTCTTCTTGGACATCTAGCTGGTTCCATCACTTCACTGCTGTAGAGCGCTACACTGAACACTGACGTCCAAGTGTCTCTGTGAGGACTGACCCTGCAGTACCCAGGAGTACTGTAGCTGGGTCAGATGGGAGGTCTAGCTCGAGGGTTATTTGCTTTGTTTGCCTCACTTGTTTGTTTTGAGCTAGGGTCTCACTACGTAGACCAAGCTGGCCATCAAACTCACATAGACGCAACGCCTCTGCCTCCTACGTGCTGGGATAAAAGGAGTGCCCCCCCCATGCCCAGCTTTAAGGGAATTGCAGTTGCCACCAGGCTGGGCAGGGAGGTGTTACTTTTTAATATCCCAGTGGTTGAAAGTTTTCAAAGCTGATCTTTGTACACGTGTTCCTACCTTTGTTGTGCTGAGGGCAGACAGTGCAATCCACAGATTTTTTTTTTTTTTTTTGCTTTGAAGAATAAAAATTATCTTTGAAGTGGATAAACAAATTTGACCTGTGGTAATGGCCAGAGTGTGTGTCCTCTTTGCAAGATATAAAGTGTAGCATACATATTTCACAGAGTACTAAGCGTATTGCTCAGACGCTATTCCTGCTTCATTTTGCCTACATGTCCAAGAGCATCACACTCTCATTTTATACTACAATATGACTCATTATGGTTTTACCTCCTATTTCTAATGGACTTTGCATTCTAGATGTTAATGCACTCTAATTCTGTATTTCAAAACGTGCTCAATGGACTTGAAAAACAGCTCAGCGGGTAAAGTCCAAGCGTGAGGGAAAGGATTCAGATATCCAAAAGTGACATAAAGAATCAGACGGGAGAGGCAGTGTCCTGTATCCCAGCACTTCAGAGGCAGAGACAGGATACCGCAGGGCCAAGCTGCTTAGTTATACTAGCCAGACTAGATGAGCTCGGGGCTCTGCTAGAGACCCTGTCCACATAAACAACGGGGAGAGCAGGGGCTGAAGAGACGACCCAGCAGCTGAGAGCCCAGCAGCTGAGAGCACCGGCTGTTCTTCCAGAGGATCCAGGTCGAATTCCCAGCATCCACGTGGGGGCTCACAACCCTCTGAAACTTCAATTCCAGGGGATTACATGCTCTCGCTGGCCTCAGTGAGCATCAGACACTGCAAATGGTACAGGGACATATATGCAGGCAAGACACCATACAAACAAAAATAACAAAGTAACAATTTTTTTAAAAACTGAAGAGCAGTCAAGGAAGACATCTGACGCTGACTTTGGGTCTACACACACTATTGTACACATATGTAAATGTGCACAAATGTGTAATATGTGTAGATGACCATAACATCCTCCCTTGAGGATTATAGACTCTGACCCTGTGTAAACCCACCCCTCTCTATATTTGTACGTCATAAGAAGTTGCCCACGGCTGCCTGATGGTAGAAACCCCCCAGTTCCTAAAGGCTGAAAGCTGGAGATGTCTGATGTGCTCCTAGCCTCGTAGGTAAAAGGGAGGAACCAGGGCTGGCAAGATGGCTGACCAGGTCATGGTGCTTGCCATGCAAGCTTCAGTTCAATCTCTTGAACCCTTCTTGGAAGAAAAGAATCAGCTGAAAGCTGTCGTTGGGCCCTGAGACAGGCACCATGGCAACGCGCACATCCACACATCACGGTGATAGAAGAGGAACCAAGCCTTGCCTTGGGTTTTCTAACCCTCATGCTCGGTTGGGTGGACTATTCTCTGAAGCAGGCTGTTGTGTGATTCAAGGTGAAAGACAGGGCTCCTGTGCTCTTTACTTTTCTTTTGATGGAGTCCAGCCCCCTGCTCTTTAGGAACCTCTGTCGGAGCGTTCTTCAGAGGCTACATTTCAAAGTCACAACACCCAAGGGATCTTAATTCCATTGAGTCAACATCAGAAGGAAAGAGACAAATGGACTGACAAGTCAAGTAACGTGAGCCACAAACATTTCTCCTCTGTAAAGTCCAGAGCTCAGATCTAATCATTGCCCCTGCTGAAGTAGCTATTAATAGAAATCACTATTAATAGAAGCAACCATTAATTCCCGCTAGTTTGGCTTGAGCTTAGGATTCCCAGGACTGGAAACTCGATAACTATTGTCCTTGGCTTTTCTTGAGAAAAAAAAAAAATCCCCTTACGTGAGTCTTGGTTCATAGCCAGTGTTCCCTTCAATATCTTGTTGGCCCTGTCAAAGCTCTCAGTTGGCCATGATTCTTTTATCCCCTTAGCTCTTCTTTGCTAAGATACAACTCCACCACTGACCCTCTGAGGCTTTGTTCTGAGAGTTTGGTTTAAAAGGTAGAGCTAGGTTGAGCTGAGGTCAGTGTACAACTTCCAGGACAGGGTAGTTTAACAAATGTGGGAAGTTTAGAGCACTCTTCATTCAAGGCATATTAGCAATAAGGACATAAAAATATACCTTTCTAACTTACTTCTATAGGACTAATTTCCATAATTTCTTCAAATGACAGGTGAACCATGTATCTGCCCAAAATCCATAATTTTTCTGCACTGACCCATGAAACTGAGCCATCTACAAAGAGAAAGAAGCAAATAAATAATAAGTAAGCAAACATGCAAAGGCTTCTAAATGGGGAGGCGGCTCAGCTAATAAGAAATGCTTGCCAGACAATCATGACGACCTGAGTTTGATTCCCCCAGAGCCCTCATCAAAAGAAAAAACAAAAAGCAGGCAGGGTGACCTGCCTTTAATACTTGTAATCTCAGCACTCAGGGAGACAGAAGCAGGTGGATCTCTGTGAGTTCGAGGCCAGCCTGGTCTACAAAGCTAGTCCTGGACAGCCAAGGCTACACAGAGAAACCCTGTCTCAAAACAACAAAGAAAGAAAGAAAGAGAGAAAGAGAGAAAGAAAGAAAGAAAGAAAGAAAGAAAGAAAGAAAGAAAGAAAGAAAGAAAGA